CTTGCCCAGGAGGTGAACCCTGGGGTTCCACACTGATGACAGAGACATTGACTCTGGGCCAAAGCGCCACACCTTTCCAAATTATATAATTTATTTATATTATCACTTAACTGTATACTTTATTTTATTTTACTTTATACTATACTTATTTTTATAATTTCCCTGCAATACCCACGTTTCCCTAATAGATGGTGTAGAAAATTATAAAAGCATTTTAGCCTTTATGCATGACTTATGTGTCATTTATCTTAGTTCACACCAACACTCCCTCTAGTGTCAACTTCCATTACTGGGGTATTAGCACCCCCTAGAGTTAAGGACTGTGAGTAGGTAATGGTATGCTGATTTTTTTTCTTTCCTCAACGTGTTTTTGGCCAGGAAAAAACACACCAGTTGAAAGTCAATCAGATAAACCCTGTAGCATCAACTTGATACTGAACCTTTTCAGTAGACAAACACCATTACAAAAACCAATCATTTAGGTTTCTCACCTGACAAAAAGTAATGTGGCATGTCTCTGTTCAGGTAAAAACCTGATGAAACTCATGGCAGTATTAATGATCTGTATCAGTGTAAAATTTTAAAGCAGTCCTCACTGCTGCAGTCTGAATGTTTCATTGCTCCAAGACACACTGTAACGCTGTGCAGACCTGCTCGTAAAGGTAAAAAGTCAATTCAGGCAGCAGATGTTCAACATGATGTGTAGTAACCTTGTGTAGATTAAAATAAATATTAATCATCTTGGATCAGTTTCCCAGCCACCACCCACTTAGCCATTCTCACAGATAGCTGTTCACATGAGTCACAGCAGCCTTTGGGCACACACATGCATTCAGCTGCGTGTTTCACCAGGCAGAGGGATCTTCAAACAGGGAATCTTACAATAATATTTGTTAAACGTCAACTGATAAACCCTTGAGGGGTTATTATGGGAAAAGATTCTTGAGTAAATTATTTAATAAATCATCTAAAATATTCAAAACAACAGGTTATAGCAGGATCTTGGGAAATTAGTTGAGATAGTGATCAACTTAGCTGGCAACTGTTCATCATTCACTCAATTTTTGTTTTCATTTAAATCAAAAGATAAGTTCTTCATCTTAAATATATGTGTTATGGAGTGTTGGCTGAAGCAGCAGACTGACACCTGTGGTACTGCAGGATATATCACTGCACCTTTTTTTGACAGACAACAATATGATGTCTGACTGACATTGACTGCACTCAGCCGATACAGTCTGATGGTCTCATACCAACCTCTGACTCCTGCAGGTTCATTGTATTTCTGACGTACCAGATGTACTATGATTACCCTCCACCCACATTCCTGGAATATCCAATCCTCATTGCACAAGGTGAGTGGTTTTATAACATTACATGTTCATTATAATGTGTCACATTTTTTAGCATTGGTCGTTAAAAGTATGGGGGGAAAAACATAAAGTATGGCCTATATTAAAATAAGCATAAAGTGCACAGAAGTACAACCAACCATAAATCTGAGCAGAACATAATATTCACAGAGGATTAGTATCGTGAGAATCACCTGTGGCTATAAACCCATCCTTAAAGTCAGAAAGTGTCTGAAACTTGTACTGTACTGTAGTCAGAAAGTGTCTGAAACTTTCTTCAGCTTTGGGAGCAGTCAGAAAGTGTCTGAAACTTTCTTCAACTTTGGGAGCTACTGTTTGTACTGTTTGTACTGTTCCCTGCTGTGGGTCTATTCACTTATTTAAGGAAATACTTTATATTAAAATGTATTTTGTTATATGTTGGGAGTGTCTGAAGTTGACTGGTATTTGCTTATAGTATAGTTTTTTTAAATAAATATAACCATTTAGCACAAGTTTATTTTTTGTGTCAAAGTATACAAGCAGAAAATACACCATGTCAAATATGGCAGCAATTGCACTCCAATACAGCTGCAATAAATCAACTTTTTTTAGCATTAACTCTTATTGCCTATGTTTAGAGTAAAAAGTACTGCAGAGATATTTATATGTAATAATGCAAAGATGACTTGATTCTCATAACTTTTTCTCAAAAAATTGTATGGCATAGTGATGACGTTTATCCCGTAATCTTTTTTTTTTTTTTAATTTTCAATGTGGCTAGTACTCCATCATAGCTTTTTTGGTGTGACTTCACAAATCTCAAATCTTTAGGTAAGTAAATTATGACCCATTTAATCATGAAGAAGAAATCAATTTTTTTTATAGTGTAGCCATAACGCCCAGCTTACAAACACAATTCAAAGTCGTGGGGAGTCGTTCAACCCTAACCTAGTGAGAGTCACTATAGAATCTGCTGCTGTTAGAATTAGCCTCGCCATAAGAACCAGTGTAAGTGTTGGTTAGGGACCGCTGCTCTAAAAACCATTATAGTAATTTTAGAGGGACAGAGAATCAAAGTGACAGTTTAAAATACAGTATTGTTAGTATCCAAAAGTGAACGCCGGTGGAACCCTTGAAGGAGTCTATAAATTGTACTGACTAACCGAACATCTACATCGCCCCCTGAGGCCAATCTGTGACAAAACAATCTGTCTGTCGGCTGTCAGTCACTTGTCTTCACTCATGCATTAAATTGAAATGGAATTTAACGGTAAAGCAAACGTCCGAGTCATCAAAGAAGTTAAGGCGTGGTTTTGAAACATCTCAGCTTGTTGACACGTTCTAACCTGTCCTCTGTCCTCAGATGTTCTCTTGCTGCTCCTCATCCTTCACTACAACGGCAGCTTAAAGCAGAGCCTCATCTACACCCTGCTGTATCCTTCACTGCACTTTCTGATGCGTGTTCAACCTCAGTGTTGAAGCGAGTCAATGAGCCGTCCTGCTGCACCAAACTACGTCACATCTTATGGCCTTTACATCATGTGCTCAGGTTTGTCGGAGGTTGGCGCCTCCTCACTGTGGAGAAGTGGATCATTGACTCGGCCATGGTAATAAATCACTGCAGCCCCACTCATGAGTCAGTGTGTCAGGGGTGTAGCAGAGGGACGGCAGGTCATCGGTCAGAAGTAATGAGGTGGACATTTGAACATCGTGGTTCCACCTGGTGGTCCTCAGCTGAACAGTTAGGCTTTAGAGTAGCCAGCTGCATGTTGGTTAGTCAGAGGAATTGTTCAAAGGGTTTTTTTTAGGGATGTCTGTTAATATCGATCGGCCGATAATATTGGTTGGCTGATATGGCCTATATCGGCATCTGTTGATATTGGAATTGTAAATTAAGTGTTTGGACAATATCGGCATATCAGCAAAAAGTTGATATCGTACAACCCTAGGTTATTTACGTGCACATTTATTCATACAACTACAGTTTTTATCCTCCGCGAATAAAAATGATGTCAAGCTGCATTGGTTTGGAATCATTTCAGTTATTTATCAGCAAAATAATACATGTCGAAAATTCTCATTTCTTCAAATCAATAACTTAAAAAAGTCTATTCCAGAGACGACCACAGGTGCCATTGTTCTGTCGAGTATTATGGCCACATTGAGAATAAATAAATAAATAAAATTAGTCTAATAAATGTATGACTTTATTCTTGTAGATTTATGACTTTATTCTTGTAGATTTATCACTTAAATAAATGTTTTTTAAATTTACAACTTTTTTTCTCGTGAAGTTTCCACTTCAATTCTCATAAATTTGTAGACTTTAATCCTGTCATTTCATTTATTTTAAAAGAAAATTCTAAATATGGCCCTAATACGTGTCGTACCATTCTTGGTATGACTTCAACATGAAGTTAGAAATTGAAAATTCTTTTGGTAAGTAAATCATGACCTGTGTAATGCTACAGAAGAATCCATTGACAGTAGTCTAAAGCCTTGGCTTAAAAACACAATTGAAAGTCTGGAGATTCTTTCATGGTCTCTTCACAGAGCCTGTGACCTGGTGACAGTCGCTGTAGAAACTGCTGTTGTTAGAAGTAGCCTCGTCCTGAGCACCAGCTCAACATGAAAAGACCTATAAAATAATCCCAACCAGATTCATTCCTCACCATGGTAACGTTTTGAAAAACATCACTTAGTCATTTTCCATAATAATAATAATAATGACCAAGTGATGCTGCATAAAAGCAGAACTGTGAAAATAATAATGTTATTTTCTACTGTCCCTGCTTATCTCAGGGTAGAAAATGTACCAGCATCGCTTTGTTGCCAGTGATTTTAATTTGGACGGCCAGAGAGGCGGTGCTGTTGACTTTTTGATCTCCTCTATACTGAATCGTAAGAAAAAAAGAAAGAGCCTCTTGACCTCTGCCCCCTCCTCCTTCTCCTCAGAGCCTGTGCACATTCATCAGTGCAGCCAGTAAATTCACTCAGCTGCGGTGCCTGTGGAGATCCAAAGATGCTGGGCAGGTCAGCGCTCTCACCTGGGCGATGGCTACCTACACATGTATCGGTGAGTGAACTCCAGATGACACTTTAATGAATTATGACTATTCAGGTGATTCACACCTACTCTGTGTACAGCCTCTGTGACAGCTGAGCGCTAGATATTTTCTTGATTAAATTGCAATCGGGCAGTGGTGGCTTAGTGGTTAAGAAGGTCCAGAAGATTTTAGGTTTGAATCCACCAGCTCCCAAGTTCCCACTGAGGTGCTCTGTCATGGCACCGTCTCCACTCACTGCTCCCTGGTTCTTAAAGCTGCCACTGTTCACTGTGGTGATGGGTTAAAAACAGAGGTCACATTTGGTTGTGTGCAGTGGTGAGCTGTGTCACAATGACGAGGAGTTCACTTTACTAATGTATAAAGCAGGCATAGGCAAACTAAGGCTTGGGGACCGGATGCGGCCCGTTCAGCTTTTTAATTCAGCCTGCCAAACTTTTCCAAATTATTTATATTATCATTATACTTCGGCCTTTTCCCTGCAATACCCAGGTTTTCCCAGTAGGTGGAATGTATCATTATAAAAGCATGTTAGCCTTTATGCATGACTTTTACATGTCATTTATCTTAGTTCACAGGAACACTCCATCTATCTGCTTCTGACCCGGCCGCCCTGTTCAATTTTAGGATAATTGTGGCCCGTGAGTCAAAAAGTTTGCCCACTCCTGGTATAAAGCAAATACATCGGACTTTGTAAATCTGATGAAAGGATGAAAAACAGAGCTGAAATAAAATGTACCAACTATTAAACCTATGAAGGCCACACTGTGGCAGAAGTGGTGAGTGTCCCTGCCCTCAAGATCTCAACTTCAGGGGTGGGTCCAGAGATTTTAACATCACCGTGGCAACAATGATATGTTGTTGACTTAATGTCCCAGAACGTGAAACACACAATTGATGCTAACGATAGTGAAACAGTGGAGATGTTTACGTTCCCAGAGAATGGCTGTATGTCTCTAAAGTAGTTTCTCCAGTTCTGGACTAGAAAACTGTGCTGGCCCTCACAGCCATGAAACCAGCCAACAGGGCGTCAATACTCAAACTAGCGAAGAATCCTGATTCAATTATCACTGTACCAGTGATAATTGATGGTTTTCTGTACAATCAGAGTACAGAAGCAGCAGAAGACAGAGAGAACATGGCAGCTGTCACGAGCAGAGTCACAAACGTGAACTATAATAGAATTAGTCACTACAGTCACAAATCAGCAGTTATTCACTGTCACTCTGTGTCAGTGAGATATGTGAGATAATAAGAAAGTCACTAATTCATTTGCCTGTTACAGCTCGTATCTACACCACCATCTCCACAACTGGAGACACTCAGGGTAAGACCAATGCTCATCAGAAATGTTTCAGAATTATTTGTTAACTTGTTGTGATTTTGTGCTGATGTGCATTCCTACCACGCAATGTAACTCGATTCTCCCCATTAGTCTGAACTCACATACCGTACATCAGTATCAATGTCAATCACGTACGCCAACACGGTGGTGACATCATAATCTAGAGTCTGACTGACACCTGGGAGCCAGAACGAAGGGCAAAAAGTTCCCAAAAAAACAACACAAAAGAAAGACAGTGAATGTAGCACAATCGAATGTATGGAGTAAACAAAGACTCTTCTTCTGCATATAGCGCCACGGGATGATGTATTCCTTCACTCCGCTCAACAACCAGTTCCAGTGTGAAATTTTTTTTAATGTCTTACGTCGAAAGATGACTAGATTTATTTTTTAAAATCTGACAGAAAAATACACTTTATATTCAGGAAATTCAAAAATGTACACTTAGTTAATAATTACTAAATGTGAGCCTTCTTTTAATGTGTTCTTAAGTGTCACATAGTGCAAGGATCTTTTGTGTTTTTCTTATTTTTCATATGTAAAAAACATTTTTGCCCCTTTTAAAATATTTTGTTCATTGGAAAACTTTTTTTTTCAATCTTTTTTTCCCCACATCCTTTTCATGCAGCTTTGATTGTTCAGAAAAGTTTTTTGAAATATTGAAATGTCTCTGTCTTTGTCCCAGTTCTGGTTCGCTTCATTACCATGACCTCATTGAACCTGTGGGTGTTGCTGACTGTAGTCTACTACCAGAAACACGGCTCCAGGTCCAAGAAGGAAGAGTGATCAGTTGGTGGACGGACATCGTTTTTCAGTCTGTTTTTTAGACACTGTACTGTTGGGGAAGAATACTTAGGTCAAATGGTTTTTTTATACAGTATTTTAAAAACTCTAAATAAATCCACACACTTTTGAAACATTCCTGTGACTCTCAAACATACTGCGACTGTCAAGATTATAGTACTTTTTTTTTAGGGATGCACCGATGCCAATGTTTGTTTTTTCTTTTTAGAAAATCCTTCTTGAGTGCTGACTCATCAGTGACAAATTTCACTTTTTACATTGACCAACAAAATTATTTTCTTCAGTATTTACATTGTCCAAAAAAGTGATAATTTAGTAAAATAAAAATACATAAATTGTAAATGCAGGAAGAAAGAAGAAAAAAACGCAAAAGTACTGTTTTTCCCAGTATTTTGCCAGTGAAGGTGTTGACAATAAGCTGCAGAGAAGCCTCTCAAAGTATGTGTGTGGAGAGAGAGGAGTTTTGACTATAGCTTAATATACAAATAATTAATATACAGCTGTTTATCCCCAAAACTATTTTTAAGGCACACATCATTTGGTGAAACCACGGTATTGCATTACCAGGTTTTCATTAACGGAGGAAATACCGATAACTTTTCAATTATTACATAATATGCTAACATCAGGCCGATAACATCCTTAGTTCAACCTTGAGTCTAAAGCTCTTGACAATATCTTCATTTTATGTTGAGGGACGCTTTAATATTTGTGACTGATTAGACGCTAGTATAATTCACTATCGGTAAATTATCGGTGTCAATTTCCTGATATAAGTTAACAAGGTGAACATCGGCTGTCCTGATATAAGTTAACAAGGTGAACATTCACATCGGTGCATCCTTAATTATTTCATTTTACATACTGTTGTTGACAAACTGTTGTATGAAAGAACATACTTTATCTTAGTTTTAAAGTTTTGACTCAGGACAAGTACTGTTTTTTATACTGTGAATTTGATCTTACCATAAACGAACTATTTAAAACCCCTTTGCTGTGCTCTTAATTTTGTCGTGTGACTTAAACCATACAACTAAAGAGATGGACAGAAATAATTCTGACCCCCAGAGGCACATCCATGTCTTTATTGATGAAGTGGTTATTATTTTTATTTCTATTATAGAGCAGTTTGGTAGAAAACATGCAATCTGAACGTAGAGCCCTTAAATACAACGTGGACTGGACGAGGCTGTATAAATATAATAATGTGCACCGTATGCCATGTAAAATATATATACTGTGTATATTTATAGGTATAAAACATGCTTCTTGGTTAAAAGAGAGCACTCGAAACACACGTGCGCTCCACATACACACACTCTTGACTTGCTATATATTCCACATACGTACAACGTGTCCAAACACCACGTTTGGTTCCTTTTAATACAAAAATATCAAGACAAACACTTAAAACAAAAACCAGTGGAATAGTGCTGCCCAGTTTTCTGACTGTCAGCCCATGATTCCATACTTGTGCTTCTCATTCATTAACTTTAGTAAAAAAAAAGAAAAAGAAAAGAAAAAAAACAGTGGACGCCTGTGTGTGACAGCACTCAAGTGCGGGGCCTAAAAAGGCAAACACGTGTGAGTTCACTCAGAGCGGTTGGTAATAAAAGAGGGCTGAAGTCAAGTAAACTTTGAAAGAAAACAATGCTCGTGTGTCGGCTCTGTAGATCTGTACATTCAATAACAAACAAAAGAAGCCCAGTTGGGTCCTTGGAGAGCACAAACCTTGTGGCCGATGACCTTAGTAAACATTTCACCTCTACGACTGACCATGCAGCTTTGATTAGGGACCGTGAGAATCTCCTGGTTTTTCTTCTGCAGACATTCAGAGCAGGACTGTGTCCATGTACAACGGTGAAGATGTGCAACCACAAACCGGTGAGTCAGAGCGGGCCAGAGTCAGAAACCTAAACAAAGAGGCACTTTGAAGAGTAAAGTTCATCAAACGTCTGCTTTGTTTGTGACTCCTGCGGCTGGAGGCCTTCTCCAGAAGTCACATTTTCCTCCCTCAAGTACCTTCTTCCGTTTTCTGTGGCCCTGTGTGGACGCACACCTACAAACAGAGCAGTGAGAAGCATATGAAAGTACAAGTGAGTTTGTATCCAGCCAACACGGAATAGAATCTTCCTTCTTATAAATGTTGTGTTATTGATCCCCCCCACAATGATTAAAAACAAGTCTTTTTTAAATTTGGCCACGGGAATCCCTAAAGTGGAGTGTTTGTTTCTGCTGGGTTGTTACATCAGGCTGTGTTTCCTGATGAGAAGTGCTGAGGTACGTGCTTCACCTTCTTGTCACTGTTAGATCTTTTTCATGTTCTGTGGGAGCTAAAGGCGTGACTCGGGCCCCACAGAGACACTAGCAGAGAACACAATGAACTGATGGTGACTAAAGGTACAAATGGATCATTTGGATTCCACAGGCTGAAGCAGGACAGGATGTGGAGAAGTGACGGAGTCCTGTACGCCGATCTGCAGAAACAGCTTTGAATACAATCTTTGAACGTAAGAGGAAACACATCCCACCACCCTGAAGATGCACCGACACCAGGTAAGGTTAACTGGAAGAAGGAGAGAAACAGAGGCACGGTTAGTCTGAGACATTCCTACACCAAAGGTTCAGCACTTCTCATTCACAGAAATATATACATACACATTTATGTACATATATGTACATAATAATAATAATAATAAGTCCCTTTTTGGTTCCACAATGGAGGAATTTACAATGTGAGTCTTTGCAACCAACAAAGGCTGCCACACGAGGCACTATTAGACATGTGTGTTTTCTTGGGGAACCCAGGACTTTGCACTCTGCTTTCAAGGCAGGAGTGCTAACCGCTACACTACGGAAACATAGTTCCATAAATATACAGTATATCTACATTAATGTACATAAACATTTATATATTTATACTTATATATATGTATATTCACATACAAACATATTCACATATACATTTCATTTTACATTTTATATCCCTCTTACGTGTGTAAAAGGAGAAGAGGAACATTGTTCAGCTCAGCTGTGCAGAAGAATGAACCCTTTTTAAACCAAAAAGACAAAACACCCTGTTGTGTCGTGATGTCAGTGATCTAGTGAAAGACACACACACACACACACACACACACACACAGGTTTTCATTTATCAAACTGTCACAGAAGAGAAGGCGCAAAACCTCTTTCTAGAAATATTTTGATGTCATTAAACTTCATATGAGGAAAAAACCTAAAAGTGCCACATCTTCACAGTTCAAACAACCCGCCTTTGGAGTTAATGACATGAACCAAAACCAAAAACCTTTCTGCTCTTGGGATGGAAATTTCCAGTAATATTCTACTATCAATCATCAGCCAAAAAAACATTTCGGGCACAAAATAGCAGATCTTGTTTTTCCATAACAAAGAAAGAGAGCTAAACGTGTGAGGCAGTGGCCGCTGCTGTTGCTAGTCAACAGAGAGGGCAGTGTTTTGGTAAGTTTACTACAAGAGTTTTTGCACTACAAGAGTTTTTTATAGATTAAAGCCATGATTCTCAGCTGGGCAAGAGAAACTATTTTGGGGGCAGTCTGCAAATGTGAATAATGTGCATAATGTGAATTGAATACTGATCCGACTGCAAACATCGTGGGACAAAGAAAAGTGTCCAAGTCGATGTAAGGAAGCAATACGTCAAAGCGACGGTTGTGAAGCGTCTTTGAGGCAGAGTGCAGACAAAGCCGACCTGGACCGCAGAAATGGTGGACAGATTGATCCAGCTGTGGCAGGAGCGCAGGTGCAGACTTTAATTTGAACAATCATCTGTCATCAGGGATCCCTCATCAACTGCACTCACACACTTAGTGTGTGATTCCCAGCCTTTCAGTCCTTTCTCAAAACGTCTCTCAGTGTGAAGTCTGTGGAAGTGTAGTGTGTCCTCAGGTCAGGGCTAAATAGTTGCTCGGCTAAGGCCACCTTTACACTGCAGTGATACGACTACAGAGCCTCCAGAACCACCAGTGAGTCTGACAGGCTAGTCCAGCTAATTATAACTTTTACTGCTTTATAGAGTACAATCAGATAAAATACATATTAGGCAGAATTTAAACATTATTATTAGTTGACACCCTCAGACAGATTGGGAAACTTATGTGGCCTCTTTGAGAAATTAATTAACCCCATGACATACCGGATAATGCGCTGCAAAGACTTAATGAAGAAATGATGACATAATTACAGGACGTGCCATTTCCTTTTCACTATTTCCTGATATTTATATTTTTTAGGATGTCATAGGGGGATGAAAAAATTAACACCTGGACACTGATTACAAGCTTTTGCTGCCTAACCCTGCAAATGAAGACCTGTGTGTGCACAGCTGAATACCATCACCACCACCACCACCACCACAGCTTCTCATGTCACCAGATTCAGTGCCAAAAAGACTTCTTTAGGAGCCGTAAGGCAACATACATGTCTTTAGGAGTTTAGCCATTGGCAGGTAAATGTGATTCCAGTGAATCACAGTGGTCATTTATACCCTCGTCCACTGTTGGAATCTTCTCGCCTCAGTTTGAAACCATTTGACCTGCGGGGGCTGAGGTCAGAGGATAAAGTCATGATGGACACAAAACATTTTCAAGTAGCAGTGACCAATCAATGACCAAAGGCACTATTCAATTGTGTCTTCCAGTAGTTGGACCTGGCAACAAAAAAAGTTACCGTCCCTTTAAATCAGGTTTCCAAACATCTGGCCAGCGGACCAAAAGTGGACCAAAGGCCGGGAGTTTGAGGACCATCCAAATGTGGCCCACAACAAGATGTTAGTATAACGTAATCTGTCCCCCTGCTTTTAGTTTTTTTGCCCTTCAATAAGACGGCGGGGGAAACAGTGGGCTGCAGCTCATTTGACTTTGAGACCGCTGCTTTAAGCAGTTGCTCCTTGGATGATTTTTGTTTGACAAATTAAAGTTATTTAGTGTGAAAAAGTTATGTAAAATAGCAAAGCGAGGCAGTCAAATGTAAAATATCATCATGGGAATTTGTGAAAAACACATTTTTGAAATACTTATCAATTAATGTAGTTGATTAGTATTAATGGAGCCCCAGACAACGTAAATATAACTGGTGCAAGTGAGCAGAGGAAATCAAATCACTGCATAGCACAGCACAGCACAGCAGAGCACAGCACACAGTGTTACCATAGCAGGTCATTAGAAATGAATAGAGGAACAGTCATCATCAATATCATCCAAAGCCCAGTGCCAGTCCTGCAGCCCCAAGTCTTCGAGTCTGAAAGGGGAACAAGTTCTGAGGTCTGTGTAACTATAATCACAGACATCACCAAACTGGGTACATTCTTTATGTTGACTTCCTGCCGTGTGCATGGTAAAAGAACAAAAACTGGAACTCCCATCATTCTTTTTAAGAAAGCCTATTTGCCGGTTGTTCGCCATACATGGGATTGTGCTACATTCAGTTTTTTTGTTTCGATTTTTTTTTGGGAACTTTTTGCCCTTCATTGTGGCTCCCAGGTGTCAGTCAGACTCTTCTGATGTTTTTATGTCCTAGATTATGATGTCCCCACAGTGTTAGCGTAGGTGGGTGACAAAGGTACTGATGTAGAGTATGTGAGTTCCAACTTGTGGCGACAATCGAACAGAAAGGAACCGAACTCAAACTCATAGGTTGAGGACCTCCTGAACATTTAAATAATGCAATTTCCCTGACTTAACCCAGAATTGTTTGTGAGAGTGAGTTGTCATTTAGTTTTTGTCAGCAATGAAGTGTTATCAAAGGTTATTACTGGTGCAGCATTAGAGACTGCACTTCCATACACTTCAACTGAAACTCTCCATATAATTCTGTATTCACTGTTGCTGCACTGAATGTAGCACACTACCTTTTGTTAATGTAGTCCCCAACACAGAGACAGACATCTCTGTCCCTCAGGCTACATTAAAGACTCAAGACAGTGACGGCATTTTCCCCCAGGCTACATATGGACTGTTTGATGTACATTAACAAGTTGTTTGTAAAAAACAAAAGAAAATCAACAATCCCTGTCTACATCAACATTTGTCTCTGTTGTTCTTTGTTGTTCTGTTCTACTCCTTGTTTAAGATGATAGGCCTTTAAGTAGACATCCGTAGACACACTTCAGGCTCGACACATCTGTGAGGAGAAAGAATTTATTTCCCCCATCACATAAAACAAAATCGTACAAAAGTAAAAACAGCAGAACGGACAAAAGGGAGTTCTGTGAGTTTTTTCAGTAACAGTCATTACAAGATGGCGGTTTAGGCCCCTAGTCTGATGAGAGCTTAAATCCACCATTAGGGCAGATCCAGTGGCAGTGGATGTTTACGTTATGGCAGAGCATCAAACTCAAGCATCAACAAGAATGTGTAAATCTGATGTAGCAGAAGCTAGCAACATACGAGTTATTCTGTTTGTTGTTGTTATTTTTACCTTCAAATCATGTTAAAATGAAAAGGACCAAATAAGAGAATGTGAATGTAGTACGAAGCCCACAGGCACTGGATAATGAAATCGACTCTGGAGTGTGTTCTGCAGTTGAAGGTTGACAATAAAGTGCCAAATGACCACAGTGTGTGTTTGTTTTTCCTTTGATGTGTTTTTGTTTTTTTTCTTCAGTTCTAGTTAAGAGACATTTTAATGAACTTTATTGATCCAACACTTGGGAAAAAGTTGTGTTAACAGCAGATCTGCAGCAGCCTTGGCCCTTGGAGGCGCCAACTATGTGGTTCCTCTGGGAAAATGCTTCAGAATAAAAGTTAACAATGAAACCACATAATTTGGTTCCTGTGTCATTTCAAGTAATAGATGGATACAATGAGAGATGGGTCAGTAGTGTAGGCAGCACACAATGTCAAGCATTAGTATGCAGCATACAGAGATATAAGTTAGTGAGTGAGGCTTGTTAAAACTTTGACTTCCCTTTTCTAATATCTGCTTTCAATCCAAGTGTGAAACTAAAGCAATTCTCTTTACAGCTAAAATAAGAGGGTTATGTCAAAGACGGCAACCAACATAAAATCAGTGTCTCATCTCAGAAACCTTTGATGAAGGGAAAACCCACAGATGTTCGTGTATGATTTAGAGAAAGTCTTAAAACCAACCACTAGCTCTAGACCACTAGAGAAAGTCTTAAAACCAACCACTAGCTCGATACAATTGTTTAATGTCCTATACCATAACTGCAACTGATGTCAATCTGATACTTTCTTTTGTCCTGTAGTAGCTGCAGGCTGCTGTTGTTCAGCCGATAGTTTCCCTGTTTACATCATGTCACGCCAAGTTAAGTTGATCATTAGATATCAGATCAGATGGGGTATAGTTGTTTTTTCGATGTTCGGTCCTGAAATAATTTCAGACAGATCGAGCCATCCCTCGCTAGAAAAGCAACAAAAAGGCTTGAACCCTAATCAAAGTTTGTATATTCCTACCTGCTCTTGCTGGTGGGCAGCTGTCGACTGGGCCTCCTCATTGACTGGCTAGTCTGAACCTTCATGGAGGCACGCGGTGAGGAGCGTGCAAAGTGCTCTGCTGGTGGAGGCTTCTTGGGAATCTTCTTGACCAGACGACTGACCCACTTCTGCTGCTCTTCCTGGGACGCGGCCAGCAGCAGCAGGTTCTTGGCCGTTGACACATCGTAGTTGACTTGTGGGTGAAGAAGAGAAGAGTTGATCAACAGCCATTGTCAATAACCTAAGAAAGAGGCTAAACTCAAAGATCTCCAGAAAGTGTGCTGTACTGCAGTACCTTTGCAGGGAGCTATGATCTCCTCCTTCTTGTCCATGTGGTCTTTGTGGCACTTGATATGGCAGCGCCGACATTCCAGAGCGGGCGGTGGTTTAAACATGTTCCATAGTGGCTTGGTGCATGCCTCACAGTTGGTAGGAAAGTGGTAAAGCGTGGGGATGAACTCGTGACCTTTGTGGCAAAAGTAGCCAGACTTTTCTCCGATGGGCAATGGCTCGACTGGAAACTCTGGCTCCTTCTTACTCTCGCCTTCATTAGCATAAAGCATCTGAGCAGATGAAGAGAGAGAGTCTCTTTAGTTTCTGAATTATTTAATAATAAGGTTCTGAAGTGATCAACTACTGTTTAACTCAGTGGTTCCCAAAGTGGGAGGCGGGCCCCCCCTTTGGGCGCAGAGTTATTGCATGGTGGGCCCAGCAGTGGGCAAGTCACTGATTTTACTTCTTTTAACAGTGAGAATATCTGTTTTAAAGGAATTATAATACAGTCAGTGTAAAGTTCAGTAAAATTAGCCAATAGCTGTGAATGTGTCAACATGGGGTTGGGGGCTCGACAATGGTCCTATCAACAAACGGAGCATGGCAGTAAAAGTTTAGGAACCACTGGTCTAACTAGTACAGAAGTTCAAATATTCAAAGTTGGATTCTGACCTGGAATATTCTGGGAATTTCTTTGGCATCAGCACGGTACACATCAGTTTGAGTGACAGGCATCAAGTGGAAAAGTTTGGAAAAAATAAATGTTTTGTCACAGTCACCAAAACAAATAACATTAATGGGTTTCAAAATGAGGGAAAAAAAATCGTACTGCACTTACTCGATATCAAGCACCATGTAGGGAATGGACTGCTCTCGGTCCTGCTCACTGTTGTAGAAGAGAATCTTCTTGCTGCTCACTACAACATACTACAGCAACCACAACATTCTAATGAGACGACGAGATCACATGCCAATATAAAGACTCAAAACAATGCCACGCCCCTCATGTTTATACCTTCTTTTCCCATCCAAATTTCTTTGTGTTGTTTCTTACAGGGAGAGACAGCCAGCCCTCCAACCGTGTTTCTTAGTGAAGGAAATAAGAGAGAACATTATTCATATACACTGAAGTAAAGTTACCTCACTTTCACTATAATATTAACATGTGAGTTAATGCAACACTAATGTATTTTTTACTTTTTACTTTGGAACACAGGACACGATCAAACTGATCATTTATTATATAATGCTGTTCAACTGCACCATCAGAATGGTGGGGGTAGTTCTGTTTGTAGTGACACTGCAATCGCTGCAGAGGGTAAGTATGAGTGACACCAGTCAGATAATCAGCAGAGAATATGCAAAACAGAAAAAAAAAAGTCAAGCCCCAAATAGCTGGGCCACTGGCAGCAAAATGAACATTAGCATATTAGCAGAATTATTCAACAGGAATGTGTAGTGGCAAAAAATATTTTAAAAAAACACTTCCACTGCAGACGAGATGTTGTTAGAATGATAAAACTCTTATCCATATTGATAGGTTTCAATCAATAACCGTGTGCCATAAAAAAAAACACAACTTGCACTGTATACGTCCTATTCTCCGACGGTGTGCTGCTATTCCTGTTTGAATTGTATTGCATCTATTCTTGTGTTATTCCTGTGGTTTTGGTGCTGTACTGCTGCTGACACTGTGTTAGGGTAGATGGGTCGACAACAATCGAGATCCCCTGGTATTTTAATTCATTAATTAAGGTAGACAACATGTATATCTCACCTGTGTAAGCATCATCGGTGTCAAACTCTGGCCCACTGCTCACACTGGCAGAGTCCATTGATTGAACACTGAGTGACTGCAGGAGGTTCCTCAGCTGCTCTATATCACTGTCCTTACTGTCCAGGGCCATCTGCAGCTCAATGCGCATCTGGCTCTCATCAGCCAATTGCTACGATGAAAAAAAAAAAAAACCCAAACATTATACAAAACATCCAAGGCAAAAGAGAAAAAAGGCAGCTGGGAAGTCTATGTTCTGTTAACATAAAGTGTTGTTTGTGGAGAGGAGTTGGAACAGTTGGAAATGTCTTTCAAATCAATACTCTAAACTGCAATGGCAGTATTTATGGGATGAGAAAAAAAAAAAAAACAAGACATGAGAGCAGAGACAAGAATTCCTGCGTTGTGCAACGGTGCCACCTACTGCTTGCATTTCATTGATCTCCCTCTGGTATTTAATAATGGTGCTGTTCAGCTTTTCCTTCTCCGACCGCAGCTCCAGCTGCAGCTTCCTGTTTTCCTTCTCCTTTCGCCGCATGTCTGTGTCGTTACCACGGCGACTGCCTCCGCCACGCACCTCCTTCCTGTTCATGATCTCTGCCAGCTTATTGACAGCCTGGTATAGAACACAAATGTATTTTTAAGTGTTTAACTTGTTGCTTCTAAAATAGAACATTTGCTTCCTGAGTTAATATTAAGAAGAAAAACAGAGAGAAATATTCATGGTGTTTTGTGTCCTTACTGAGTTGAAATAATAAAAGAAAACCATACCTGAGTTTTCAGAGTCCTCTCAGATTGCAACATCTTTTCAAATCCCTGCTTCATGTGGCTGATCTGCTGCTCCCAATCTCTTGATTTCTCAGATTCTGAAAAAACAAAGTCACTGTAGTAAAAAATGCAAACTTCAACAACTTATATTCTTAGTGAAGTAATAGCAAAGAAATACCTTCTATTGCCTCTGTCAGCTTGTTGTTTAGCTCCTCCTTCTCATTTGCCAGGTTGGCAACATCACTGGTCAGGGTACGATTGGCCTCCTCCAGCTGCGTGAAGCAGAAAGTTGGATATGGGCAGAGTTTAGAGTGGACACAGATTGATTCAGACCTACAACGTTTTGCAGACTTCTTCTGTCAGATGCCCAGTATGAAACATATTCAGCCTCCTGTGCTAAGATAATAAATTCTACAACTACTTCAAGTTTGAAAATAAGATGTTGCATAAACTACGTGTCAAACAGTCACTGGAAACTGGAACTTTTCATCTTCTTAGAGAACTGTTCACTCCACAGATCAAAGCCTGTGTGTGAGTGATGTTGAATGATGATGAATGGGTTGATTCAACTCTTTTATGTCCAATACCAATACAGCAACTTCGAGTATCAGCCAATACCGGTATCAATCCAATACCTTCTTTTCTCCTCTGTTGACAGCACGTCACGCAAAGTTAAGTTGAGTGTTTGGGCTGAGGTATCAGATTGGACGGGCTATAATTGATGTTTTTTTATGTGCGATCCTAAAAATTTGAACGATATCAGACCAATACTGATCCTGAGCCCATTAATAGAAGGCCTTTCAAGCCAAAAGATAACAAATGTCTCTGCGAAACCGTTAGTAAATTCGCCAACTACTGGTTGGGTTGATTCAACTCTTTTATGTCCAAAGATAACAAATGTCTCTACGAAACCGTTAGTAAATTCGCCCACTACTGGTCACTAGTGGTCAGTGTTATGTAAGGTGAGTATTTTTGTTAATCTAATGATAAAAAGTCTTTGTTTGAACCTTGTTCAGTGGAGATGGCAGGTGGACATTTCAGTAGCACACTCCAAAAAACATTTTCTAATAAATTCATAAATATTGATGCTACTCACTGAGCCGATAGTTATGTCCTTCTCAGCCAGCTCTTGCCGATGGCGTGCCATCATCTCCTTCAGTTCCAGCTCCTTCATTATTTTCTCCTTCTCCAGGTCTGAGTACTGCTCTTCAGCGATGGAGCGTGCCAGCTGCTCAGAATCAGCCTTTGTCAAAGTGATCTCAAGCTGAGCTGCCAACGATTCCCTAAAAAAAAAAAAAACATGTTAATCACCGACACAGAGTAGAGTGGTATTAGAGCTAACTCCAAAACAGCTTTAATATCTAACTATAACGTAACAGTAAAGGACAAATGATCCTTCCCAGACGGAAGCACAACCTTTTTATTCCCAATAACATGGACAGAAAATCAAAGTGAGTTGAAAAAGTATTTTTAATCAGTAAATCTTTTATTTTTCTCAATTACCAAATTTGATTTCCAACTGATCCCACATAGGGGTGTGACCCCATGGTTGAAAAACACTGCTGTAGTCAGTCAAGTTACCAAAATTTAACTACAAAGTGTGCACAAATTGGTTAATTTTTATTTGCAAAGTATGAAGTACAGTAAGCACAGTTCAAACAGGGGGTGAATATAACATGAACCCAAGGTAGAAAAACACAGATCTAACCTGTGATGTTTATACTAAACAACAGCTGAGGCAAGACGTTGGCTCAGTGGTTGGAGATGTGAATTCAGTAATGAATCATTAGACTTTTCTTTGACAGCAAAGCTGCGATCGCAGCCCACAGAACACCACCGCTTTTAAATTGTATGTGGTTCAAAAAGTTAAAAAACCACCTTTCTTCCTGAAGCTCCTGTAGCGACTGCTGAACATCTTTGAGTTGTTTGTTCCTCTCATCACATTCCTCCTTCAGCTCACGAACCTGGGTTTTATAAAGTGTCTGGGAGACGGAGAGTAAAGGTCATGAATATCCAAAACTTCACAACGACACTGGCATATAAAGCAATGCTTCTCCTCTAACAGTAGATCGCAGCCCACAGGGTAAAAAGATTGTTTTAACAGGAACTTTGAGGTTTTTTTATTGCTAGTTTTTTTCCTTTAGGGCCATAGTAACACAAAGCAGTTAAAGTTCTATTATTTGAAGTTTAAACAATGTTATGTACTGGCTGCTAAGATAAAGACATAATGTTCCGAAAGCATAAAAAGAGCATTTTTAAGACCTATATTTTGTTTTTATTGACATTTTATGTGCAGGCATTATTTAGACTGACAGAAAAATACTGCTCTGCTTCCAGCTGGTCCTGTAACTCCTTCATTTGCCCGTCTGTGTCCTGTCTTTCTCTGTGGATATAAAAAAATGCATTATTCATTATTCTTCTTGAATAACTGAACTTTGTAGCGTAGGTAAAAGACCAATTGTCAAACTGACTTGCGCAGCTCTTGGTTCTGCTTCTCCAAGCTGCGTTTAATGTCCAGCAGGTGGTTGGTTTCCTGCTTTAGCTGCTTCTCTGAGGTTCTGAGAGCGTTGAACTGCTGCGTTTGTGCCTTCAAGTCATTCTGAGTCAGGGTGCGTTTCTGCATCTCCTGCTCAATCTTCAGTGTCAGGTTCTTCACCTGATAGACGGAACACAAAGGAGAAAGGGTTGGAGAGTACTTTATGTCATTTTGAACGAAATCCAACGATAGCTGCAGGATTAGCCGTGTTCTAAATGAACACTTGGCTGATGCCCTGCACACATTGTAAACACTCGCCTCCTCAGTGAGACGGTCCTTATGTCTGCGCAGCTCATCAAGTTTCTGCAGAGCCTGTTTATAGTCACAGTCCATCATACTGCTGTGCTTCTCCTGCTCCAGTATTCTGTTCTCCAGGCGCAGTTTAGCTGCTCGCTCCTCTGCCAGCTTCTGTTCCATCTCTGCATGGGTGTTAAAAATGAAATAAGAGGGTTAGGATTTGAAGACGCCGCTGTTTTTAAATTAGTTTTTTTTACACACTATGACAGCTGGTGTAAGACATTTTTTCCCCCCAAGATTAACTTTTTATCAAGGTGTGCTGCATAGGATTTAGGTGGAATTACATTTTATTTTGTCATTTCTCCAGACAGACAGCAGATCATGAAATAATTTTTATATGTTCACTAAAAGTACAACCTTCTTATTGTTACTATACATGAGTATTTATCCATATAATGTATGTTATGGACTATTTTTTCTATGACTGAAAGCATTTAACTTGTCTTTGAGATGCTTTCAAAATCTGCAGAGCTCCTAACACACTGCAGTAGTGCATGTTTCATTTGCATTTAAAAAGTGAATTCTAAATATATCTTATCACTGACTGGTAATACTTGCCATAATTAGTAAAATAATAATTATTACTCTACTAAGGGGTAAATAATAAAAAATAAAGCATTCTGTGAAAAAAAATATCAAAATTAAATGCTGAGCAAATTAATACTAACAAAACAAAAAATCTGGCGGCCCGTGGGCCAAATGTATCCCACCAAACGATCCAATCTGGTTGACGACTGGGTTCAAAAATAAACATCACATAATAATGTTAGACAGAAATGTGATTTTATTTCATTCTATTTGAGTTTCCAGCCCTGTGTCTTCTAGAAAAAATCTGGGCCTCAGACAAATACAGAAAATACCTGTGCAGTTTAGCACCGAATATTCCAAACAAATGGTTGGTGGTCTCACCCTTCATGGACTCAGATTTGGCGCCTTCAATGGTGACTTTGATCTTGCTTTTGTCTGCCAGCAGCGCCCTGGTGGACTTGTGAGACGTCTCCTCTTGATCCAGCTCCTGCTGCAGCACCTTCAGCTTGTAGGTCAGTTCAATCTCCCTGTTGCTCTTCTCCTGCACAGAGAACAGCCAGGACAGAGCAAAGGTCACCAGAGCAACTATGAGGCTGTACAGCACAAGGTTAGTCAACGTTTTTAACCATACTTCAAAGCTAAAAGCCACTGAATGTCATTTTAATTTGATGTCTTAAAACAAATTTTGAGGAAGGATATTTACAAACTGAATGGTGTAAATGAAAAAGGTTTATGGATTTTTCCAGCCCGTTGGCAGTATCATCACTGCCTGCAAATAAGTGCTGTCTTTATATACTTTACGGTTCATACACTCAAACAATCAAGGTCATTTATTCCTTGAGCTCCAGTCTTCCTCAGATGTGTCTCACGATGTCAATGTGATGTGTCTCTTGTTTGGAAAACAGCAGATAAATACTGATAAGGAACTCAAAGCATATTGTAATCCAGTGGAACAGCTCCCCCCAGTGACCAAAACAGGAAAAAGCCTTTTATACAAAAGAAAAACCTTAGATCATTGTTTTAGGAATATGTTCATTCATATTCACGACTTTGTCCGAAAGTCCAACTTGAATATAAAAAAATAATAAAAAGGTAGTTATAATAATAACTTGGCATAGAGGCTGGTCATGCTAAAAACTCATTTGCATTCATATTTATATTCTTCTACTTACCCTGTCCAAATCAGCAAGTTTCTCCTGGAGCTGTCTCTTCTCAGTCTCAACTTTGGACAGAGACTGTCTCTGCTGACGTGCCTCCTCCTCCAGACCAGAGATTCGTCCTATGAGACACATTCACATTCAAAAGTGCATGTTAACATGATGTCACAGGTTATGCTAAACTTTTGTAAAACAATCTTTCCATTTCACCAATATCCAGATGAAACACTGATTCTACAACAAGATCAGCAGTTAATAAAAGTCATCTTGTCAGTGATCCGGTTATTGTGTGTGTTAACCAGGCTGTGTTGGCAGCACACAGGGGAACAACTCCATTCACAAGATCTGTTATGTCTTTATATGACAGTTTAAATATGCTAAGTGTCGCTTGGATGAGATTACAGATTAATTATTACCCTAACATCCACAAACAGTTCTAAACAGTCACACAATAGCATTCTGCGAGCAGACCAGCATTGGAAATTACTCTGTGGTTTTTAAAGGCCTCAGATGAAAGCCTGTGTGAAAAAAGTGCATCAACTTCCATCAGATTGGTGACATTTAAAACTATTTATAAAACAAGCTTTTCACTGGTGCTCTGAAAAATCAAAAGTTTATTAATTCTGGCAACAACTGTATATATCCTGAGGCTTTTCATGGCTGTGTGAAGTTTTTTGTTTTTTTTTAAAGTTCCTCGTCTTACATAACATGTTTGTGTTTCACCCACCCATAAGGTCACTGATGGTCTCCGAGCCCTGGCTGTGCTCCCTCCTCTCTGTCTCCAGAGCCGCCTGTAGGCTGATACATTCTTTCTCCAGACTGAGCTTGCTGCGCTCCAGCAGGCAGCATTTGTCCTGCAGCTCACGTACGTTGGCCTCCAGCTGCTGCAACTGCTTGCTGTTCTCGGTCTGGGATTTACGGAGCCGGGCCGCTGCCTCAGACTCAGCCCGGAGCAGCATGTTGGCTTCTTCTAACTGAGAGACGGACAAAAGGGGTGATGCAATTTGTCCAATCATCTTTTTAAAGCTCAGGTCTATATTGTGCTTGTTCTTGCTGTTTCTTCAGAGCCTCTTTGCAGCCAGACTGACAACAGATAATAAAGTTCTCTAACAAGGAAAGAATCATGAGACTTTACCTCTGGCTGACAAAATACCTCTGAGTTTTACTGACCTGTTTTTGTAGATGAATGTTCTTCTCATTTGAAATGTGTGAATTCTGGTTTCTTTTTTTCAGGTCATCCAATTGGTCTCGTAGGCCGTTTACTGCACATGAAATAAAAAAAAAAAACTTTTCATTATGAACTTTTAACATAAGGCTCTTTGTAAACATTACAACTTGGGAGATCTCAGCCTTAACTCTATGAGTTTTAATGAGTAATCTGACAGGACAAGTGGATGTTTTATTTATTTATTAATCACATCAGCACAAGCAGGTGACTGTCCTCCAATCAAATTTAATGATCACTACTGTGCAATAGCAACATACCAAGTGTGTTTTTGTTTATGTTTAAACCTGTAAACCTGCTCATTAATTCTTTCTCTTCCAATTTTTCTTCAGGGTCACGGGGGAAGGGTAGGGAAGGAGGTGAAGCTAAATTCCAGCAACCATCGGGGGAGGGCAGCACACACCCTGGACATTTCAGCAGTCCATCACATACAAAGACAAACAACCCTTCACAGTCACCTCTATACCTGTGGTCACTGTCGACCAGGGGTGTCTACACTTTTTTGGCCTGGGAACTACTGTCCAAATGACCAGGCTAAAGTGAACTACTACATTAAAAATGTCAATCATATACTAAACATACTCAATATTCAAATTATAAGTTGGTGTACTGATCAATTACATCCATGTAGCTGTATGGCCCAATCTGAATTCTTACAATATAGGTCAGAGGTGTCAAACTCAAATTCACAGCGGGCCAAAATTAAAATCTGGGCCAAAATCAGGGACCAAACTAAATATTTATTGAAAAGATTCATTTTGCGTAAACACTGAATCTTTCGGGCCAAATATAATTACCGGTACACTGCAGGCCAGATTTTGGTTTGACATATAGGGATATAGGGTCACTACAGCACACTATAGAACAATATGTGTCCTTTTCCTTAATATGTGTGAGAACAAACAGGATGGATTTTAAATTCCATCTCTCCACACCTTCATTCTCCAGGCATCGCTTCCTGTCGGCTTCACTCTCAGCCTTGCGGTGGCTTTCCAGACTCTTGTGCTGCAGCAGGGCCTTCTCCCTCTCCAGCTGCCTCACACTCGACTCCAGGTTCTTCCTTCCGCTCACCTGAAAATGGACATTAATGTTGTAGGATTGATTTCACACCAATGTGATTTCACTTTCTGAAATACGATTGCGACAAAACGCTGATCCAGAGCATAAGAGAGAAAATATTACGTGGTGTCCCTATTAAAACAACAATTGAGACTTTAACTATCAGTAATCCCCACCATTTATGTCCGAAAATCTTTGATTTTTCTTTCATTTATTTGAGTATTTGGTGCCCTATGTGTCTGTCCAGAATAATCCTGGTCCTCTGATAAACACAGCTGGTGAGAGAGTTACTCCGGAGTCACAGCTTTTTAAGTTATGAATAAAGAGACTTAATTTTCTTAAAATACATTTTATTACACTTTCACTGAACCAAGATTAGTTGTTCCGTAAAAGCTGTAAAAGCTGTACTTCCAAAACTTTCATTTACTGATCTCCCAAAATGCCTGGGTGACTAACTATGATGTCATCTGTGAGCTGGAAAAAGCACTCACTCAGAATGACACTGTAATACTCAACCTGAATATGGAAAACTGCTGTTATGACGATGTCATTACAGAACGAATTTATTCATCAAAGTTAAAAAGAAAATTCTCAAAATGATGAAATAAAAGTTAATGTTGTGAAACTATTTATTGCATTAACTATTCATGTGACAATTGTTAGCAAAACATTTGTCTTACCTCCTCCTCAAGCTCTTTAGAGATTTTGTCCAGACGACTCGTGGCGGCTCTGAAGAAAAGAGGTAAGATTTTATTTACACTTGTTCATCCAAATCTGGATGTTTGCAGTGAAACAGTTACTCCACCTGTATTTGTGCTCCATGTCATCTCTCGACTGTTTCTCATTGTTGAGCTGCACCTCTAGGTGGCACAGTTTCTTCTGCAGAGCTGCAGTCTAGAATCGGAAATAGTGATAATGTAATAAAAATTTAAAATATAAAGCAACTGTATAATAACACTCTGTCATCACTCTCACACAATGTACTGATGGGGTTTGGATGTATTGTAGGCAGGATGGTTAAAAGAAACAAGTCACCTAAGCACCAACCATCAAAGACATTCAATTACACTCACCAGCAACCAATCACAGCAGCACAGGTACAGGTAAACACCTTCACTGTGAAAGTGAGCCCTAAAACATTTCCCTGCAGTGTGCTCTTTCTTTTCATGTTCCATTTTTTATTAGAATTCTTGCGAACCCTCACTATAGTGATGAAACAGGAAGTGGCAGCACCTACCTCTTCTTTTGAGTTCTCATGGCTCACAGAGGAGTTGTTGGAAGCATTTAATAACCTGAAAAGACAGGGAGGATCAAAAGGATGAACCATGCCATCTTTGATGTGCAGCACAAAAACGACTGACACACAAGAAATTATTCGGACAACTTACTGGTCTTCCTTAAAATAGGTGAAGCCAACAAAGGGTAACTGGTTTCCAACAAAAGCCTTAGGTGTGGGAAAGGTCTCCACGTCGCCTTCATCGTCTTTAATGTCATCAAAGTTACTAGTGTCAATGTCACTGCTCAGCTCAGGGACCACGGGGGCAACCGCTGAGAGACAAAGACAGAAAAAAAAGCAGAATACAATATGAGACGGAAGTCATGAAAGAAGTATTTGTATTCTACCTAGTTTTAATTAATACTACTTTATACTTTGTGCTGTTCAGATTGGCCTATTTATTCTTGTCGCTCGATACTAACTGTCTCTAAGGGTGTCGAAGGTCCACTGGTCATTCTTGAAGAAAGGATGTCTTTTGATTTCTTCCACACCGCTCCTGCCTAATCGTACCTCCCTTAGAAAAAAAAGAAAAAGTTTATTTTTGTATTAGAAAAGGACAGACTAAATAAATAAACATCACCAAATCCCCAGAGTAATCACTAAAAGCACACAGGTCTAAATTAGGGATAGGTTGAGCCAATAGGTGAATAGTAATTGTTATCGGTCAGAATTTGTTCAGAATTTGGAACTTCAAACAACAACTATAGTCTGCCCAATCCGATACCTAAGCCCAAATGATCAACTTAACAATGCGCCACATGCCGTTAACACTTTTTCATTTTCTTTAAAATCCTATCCCTCATACCTGTCAGTCAAGAAGGCGCAAATGATGTTCTTAGCATCTTTGGAGATCTCCACATCATCTGGGAAGTTCAGCGAGTTCTTGTGGTCCATTATCTTACTGTATGTTCCCACAAGTGAGTCAGCATAGAAGGGCGTGTCACCTGGTACCAGAAATATTAAGTGAGCAGATGGAGACATGCAACAAACAGTACTGGCACTTTTGTTTTATCCAGTCACTATGAAGAAAGACTTTTACTGACCTACAAGCATCTCAAATATGAAGACCCCGACAGACCACCAGTCACATTCTCTCCCGTAATATCCATCCCCTCCTTGGGACTTGAGTACCTCCGGAGAGATGTAGTCTGGAGTCCCAACAGCTGTGTCACAATGCACCATGCCGGTCTGCAAAACATTGATTTAAAACAGAATTTTAGAATTTGCTGTGAGCTAAAACTTGCATGAATTCACTTGTGCCAATAATGATAGACACAACAGCACAGATTTGTTATGAATCTTTATACTTACATTTTTCACAAATTTGAGAGCTAAAGTTCAACATACAGCTTATATTATGGTGCAGCGCTTTAACTTTTGCTTGCTAAAAAAAATACTGATAATATTTTTTCAACTAATTATTATTTTTTAAGAATTATGACTAAAAACACCACACACAGGCTTAAACAATTGTATTTCTTTTCACTTTTGTTGTTTTTTGGGAGCTTTTTACCCTTCATTATGGACTTCTATGTCCTAGATTACAACTTTGTTTGTATAGGTGAGTGACATGGGTACTTATGCACAGTATGTGAGTTTTGACTTACGGCAAAACTCGAGATACATCACACAGAACGAACAGGAATTCTGACATACGCCTAGGACCCCCTGTGTTAAATACTGGTTTTACAGAAAAGAATAAGGAAGCATATTGTGCTGCGTAAATTGTTTCTACTTTGTTTTAAAAAATGAAAAAGCTCATGAAATGTTGCAATTCCTGTAAAGAGATCCATTGAGCCTTTAGGTATGAAACCTACACATACAAACAGTCCAACTACACACAGCCAAAGCTCAATTTTTAACTTACTGAGTCCATCTTCATGCAGGTGCCAAAGTCAGCCAGCTTGAGGTGTCCAAGTCTGTCCAGCAGCATGTTGTCAGGCTTGACGTCACGGTGGATGAAACCCATGGAATGTATGGCGTCCAGGGCCATCACGACCTCCGCTGTATAGAACTTGGCCCATTTCTCTGGCACGTCGTAGGTGCTGGTAAGGTTGACCAAGTCACCCCCTGGCATGTACTCCATTACCATGTAGAGGTAGTGCTCATCTTGGAAGGCACAGCACAGCTGAACAAGGCAGTACAGTACTCTTACTACACACGAAACAGGCAGTATCTACTAAGCAAGAACATGATCATAAAAACAATCTTATTCCACCAACCTGCACGACCCAGGGACTGTTGGAAAAGGCCATGATGTCTCTCTCTTCCCAGAAAAAGGCAGAATCCGATCGCTTGATCATTTCAAACTTGCTCAGCAGCTTCATGGCATAAACCTTCTGAGAGGCTTTATGTCTCACCTGCAGGATGAAACATGAGAATGAGAATCTAAGAAGAATTCAGCAAATAGGAAATACAGCAAAGTTTATGTCAGTGTGGCTGTGAAAAAATATTTCTTTTATATTTTTTTTATCTACTGATATAATTAAGTTTTTGGGAAAAGGCTCTGATACGGAGACCATCACAACTGTTAACAGTTATTTACCAGATGTCAGGAGTATGTTACGAGAAGCGTCTTAAATTAAAGAGCAGAGATCCTAAAACTTAGTATCTCAGAAGACTTTTTAGTCCAATCAGAATGAAATTTAAGACTAGCAATAACCAAAATTAACCACAGCCTCGTCAGCTACACTCTGTAGAGCTGTGCAAAGCTGGCCTGGAAAGCTTTGGTCAGTTCCTCCTTCATTTCTGTTAATTCTGTCATTTTCTGTGTATGTGAAGATATGCTAGCATGAAGATTGGAGACTTGGGTAAAACCAGTAAAGAACTGTGCTTTTTAAGGAAACAAATTTGCAGTTTATGTTTTTCCCACTTTGCATAAGTGATTTCATTGCTCTCATTTTCCTTCATGCAGACCAGGCACTGGTATCAGATGCTGGTACAGGGCACTGGTACCAGGCAATATATCAGATGCATTCTACTGGTTCAAGCTATGCTGCAAAATCCTCATTAAGAAACCACTGTCTCTTAAATTGGTCCTCACCTTGTTGAGCTATATCACTGATAGCAATGTGTGTGTGTATACTGAAAGCAGCAACAAACAAAAGTGTTGCTGATTCTGCTGTCTCCATTAGCTTAGCATAATAAGAAGCTTTGACTAAAATCAGAAAGATCGATACAGGATAATATCTATAGGCTATATGATTTTTTTTTTAATTTTGTTTTTTAATTACAGTGAATCTAACATGAATAAAAAAAACCTTTGGACCACTTAATGACTTTTCACACTTTGTAAGGCTCCGTTGGAAAGTTGGAAAGAGACTATTCTGTCATCAAAAACAACTGTGTGCAGTACAAATGGCTTATACTCACCAACTGGACCTCGCCAAATGCCCCTCGACCAATAATTTTAACTTTGTCGAAGTCTTCAGACTTCATTTGGAGGTGTCGGATTTGCTCTATGACCTTTTCATCTGTGTACCAACGACACAAAGAGAATAGACAATCTTTTGAAATTAAAATTCAGTGCACGGACAGAACAAGTGAAGGAGGGGAAGAAAAGGTTCCCTGACCATTATTTTAATTATTCTGGTACGAAATCAACTTACATCTGTTTAGGAATGTTTCAATGTTTTTGTTTTTCCGTAGTGCAGGGTAGTCTAAGTCCAGGACCATGGCATTCATGGAGTCCTAAACAGAGAGAATAAAAACATCATCAACCATCATTTCAGCAACATTCTCAACAATTTCTTTGCTTGGTCTAAAGTTATTTAATTATTAATTAAAGTCATGACTAAATAAAACCTGACAATGCCCTTAAAACAATAATCTAAATTTCAAACAAATCTTTTAATGTTATAAACACCTGACAGCAGAATCACTTCCAGACAGTACAGTCTTGCTTCATGAATGTGACCAACATTTAAGACTCATCATGACTGGATTTTGTTTTGCTCAGTGTGCCTCTAAGTTTGTCTTTGACCATTTATGGTCGTCAATCCGAGTCCATGTAACAACAGAAGTGACAATGAGAGAGAGTAAAAGGAGAGGATCGAGTCACCCAGTAATGAGAGTAAAATTACTGACCATAATAACTTGAACAACTTGTCTTAGCAGAACATAGAGGTTACACCATTTGTTCTAGGCCACCTGTGATCAGACTCAAACCTTGGTTGGAGTACCAGTTTGGTCCACTTGTGATTACTCAGGGCCTTTGTACCAGTTTGGTCCACTTGTGATTACTAAGGGCCTTTTTAAACAAGTTTAAACAAGGTTCACCACCTGTTCAGACCAATGAGCTAACTGTATCAGGAAAAAGAAAGCTCAAGATGGAAGTTTCAGGAAACGCATACACTCAGCATCTGAACTATCTGTCTATGATAACAAAATTAAATATCAAAAATAAATTAATGTGTGGTGATGTAAATGTGTGACCATTTTTGCATGTATATATTTTCATCTTGTACCACTCTTATAAGTTCGGATCTTGTCATATTAAACGTACGATGGGACACAAAACAGTACGAAGTACGAAAAAACGCTTCATTTATCAACATGGAAGATATGTATTTTCTATAACTGAAAGCACATTCATAACAGTGAATAAAGCTCACAACTTTGTGGCTGTAAAACTGATGTTGAATTAGGTTACCTCTATTATAGATTAAAAAAATGAAAGACTGGCAAAAAGAATGACTTCTCTAACTCGCATTTAACTTTGGCCCTTCCTTTCTTCTTATTTCCTATTCACCACTGTTCTCCATTGAGATTCAGTTTACAGTGGGTTGAACACTTTATTTCGTCATCTTCACTTCCCCCACGGTCTGACCTCAGAGATAACTACTATTAAAGGGAACAAACTAACACACACTTCGAGTGAGTGAAGGGGTGTTGCTGTATGTGGATGCATATGCGCACAAACACACACGAGGATCTCCTTCCAAGCAGACAGTACAGGAAATGATACACCCCACCCCTAAGCCTGTGGATAATTTCAGTGTGTCATGAAGCCAGTCTCTGAGTGCAGTCATTTCCTCTGAGGTAGCATTCTCTGTTACTGCCACTGTCTGCAGCCAAAAGAACCCATCTTTTTTAAATGCATGGCATTAACAGATACAAACATGTGACCGTGAGCTGAGAGATGAGTACAGTCATTGGAAAAAAACTGATGCCATACCCATATTCTGTATATCTATTATACAGAATATGGGTAAGGCTGATGTCATACCTATATATACTTTTGTCTACAAGACAAAACCAGTGTCTCTAAACCATACGTCAGAGCAGGTCTCACTACTGTCTAATGAACCTTTCAACTTTGCTACTATTCTTCTGTCAAAATCACTCCACTGATTCCATCCCGACTGCACCCATTTTCTTCACCTCATTTGTGAACTGTCCATTTCCCTGAATGGTTGACCCTAGATATTAAAACTCATCCACCTCTACTACCTCTTCTCCTTCATCTTTATTATTCTACTTGCCTCACTCTCGTTTACACACCTGTATTTTTTCTTGCTCCTGCTGACCTTCATTACCTACTCTCAATACAGATGGCAATGTCATCTGCGAACATGGTCCACGGACCCTCCTGCCTGACCTCATCTGTCATCAGTTACTCCAACAACACACTCTATCCCTGTCTCACTGGCCTTTTACGTGTCCTCCAAGACCCCCAACATACTTCTCCAACTTCTGGCCATCTCATACACTATTGCAGTTCCACTGTTTCTAACGAGCGGAGATTCTCAGCCTAAACAAATTAAAACTTGTGCCACAAATCTAACAGGACACACAGGGCTTTCAGCGTTAGGATAGATGGAAATAGAGAAGGGCTTGTTAGAACTGCAACGCTCGGATAATCTCTACAACAGAGTAATTGAACTCATCTTAAGGAAAGAGAGGACGGATTATGTTATTAGGATGTGGATTTGTTCAGGCAGAATGCCACTGAAGGCCCAGGTGAGAATACCACAGCACACCACTGATTAAAATACATTTGCATCTTTGAAACATTAGTCATGTAGAGACACTGCATTCTGATAGAGTGCATTGCATAATTAGTCACCAACGCATTTAATGTTGAGAATTGTTAGACATTATTCATCCCACTCTCTATCTGTGCTGACACATAAGCTAAGATGATCCCCTGGTGCATCACAATGACAGTGACAAAACACCCTCCATTCCTAAACAATTAAAGATAGGACATTTGACATTGTTATTGTTTAGACAGTTAGCCTGCTGGAAATTCTGCAAACAAGCAAAGTTGACAAAAATATATTTAAAAAATGAATTTCTAAAATGTATTTTTAAATTATTTTACACAGATAAAAGTATAAAAATGCAGTATTTATTACGTTTATTTTTATACTTTGCATGGAAAAACAATATATACCCTTTACCTTATTCTAAAACCTTCTTCATGTCATAAAGGTCATTAGTCCTAAATTGTTGTTATTAAATAAACTAATAACTATCAATGTCAAAATTTCAATTTTATCACATCTAACAGCACATGAATAATGTGTATTTATTCTTAAGAAGTTACAAAGGACGATTTTTGAATTAAAATCGAGTTTGACCAATTATTTGAGTGGAAATCTTTTTATCCTAAAAGCTGACTCAACATTTATATACCCAGCAACTATTGAACAATTAACAAAATCCATGTGTTTTTGTGCTTTGGGGGTAAATGGCTAACGGCTGCTGTTTTAAACTGTGTCTTTGAGCCGTGAAGAAAAAAAAAAACTATACGACTGAAGGACATTCCCTAATGTCCTTCAAACAGCTATTTATAAAACTAACCAGCCAAGTGTCTAGGACAGTGTGATGCTAGATAGATAATTTAAACACTAATGTTTCTGGACTTCTTCCAGATCCAGGCTAATCTGTGTTTCCGTGCCCACAGATGTTGTGGGCAGTCAACAATCTAAATAGTTATAAAAGTAGATGTCAATGTCTGTAGTCCACATGGTTATACAGGACAACTGTCCCAGTTGTGCAGGTATTCTCTAAGGGCTTCTAAGAGCTAATGATAACACATGTCTACTTAGACTTATCAATCAAATGCTAATGTATCTATTAGCATTCCAGCATTTGCTTTACTGTAATTTAGTCAGAGGGTTATGGTTGGTTGCTAAGCAACTCCAGTGAAATACAAAGAGCTGAACTCTGTTGAAGCAACAGAGAGACGACAGGCAGGAGTTTTATGAGGACATCCTCTTCTTTCCCATTTTATTTAGCCATCCTGCTTGTTGACTTCACAAAACATTATTTTTTCCTTTGCATGCTTTCGCTCTTTATCACTCTATAAAATGCCACGTGGATCCAGCACTCAGGAATGTCATGAGGTCCAACAGCATACTCCATCTGGAGTCTTTCTTCAAAACAAAATTCTTGTTAGAACTTGGCTACAACCCATCTCGACACTAAGCATGAGCCTGGAAGGCAAGCAATGCTACTCAAAGCTTTAAAAGGATGGAGCACAAAGTTAATGTTTTGATTAAATTCCATCCGTTTTAAAAATAGTTGTGGGGATAAATGGCGGACCAGGCAGAGGATGGGGGCTGTGCCAGGCTGAGCCCGTAAACTCTCACAAACCGGCAGCAGCAGCCAGAAACCTGTAGAAATTCACCAAA